AGATGGAACTGCTGAAATTATTCAAGATGGTGCCCACGAGCTTTAATCCCAAAAATTCCCCAGGAATAGGGCTTTAAGCCACACAAATGGACACCCTACAACTACCTGTGGGAATCTGAGAAGGGAAAGTGTTAGAACTAATTCTGCTGGGCAGCAGCAATCAACAGCAGAGCCATTTGCCATGTTCTATAAGCTCAGTTAGTCAGGTTTTCCCAAAAACAGTCATGGGACCACCGCACACATCAGGCTGTCAGTTTACAGAATAAATAACTTCCCAATCCACCTATTAAAAGAACTAATAACTGCTTCCTGTGAACACCCAAGGCTTGAAAGGACAGAGTGCCAGATTTCAAACAAGATGACAGCCTTTTATGATGAGAGACATCAAGAACAGGTGGAAGGATGTGAAAAACTGCAGCCTGGACACCACATGTGCTCTTGCTGACAATCATCACACGAATTATTTATTCTCTTTACCATTTAAATTTAGTGTCTATCTCAAAAATATCACAGCAAATATGAAAGCAAAACCATATTTACCAACCTGATTCCAAATGAGATACCCTTTACTACTACCACAGAAAACTTTTTTCCAGTCTATACTTCACAATTGCTATTATAATTTGGTCAGGTTTGCATTTTCCAATGTCAGTAGTTAGGCTGGATAAAAAACTATGGTTTATTTTCAAAAGCAACAATAAAGAAATATGATTTTATTAAAATTCAATTTTATAAATATAAACACATGCCTTTTCTTTTCTTTTTTTTTTTTTTTTTAATACATGCCAATCTGCATTTGAAATTTTTGTATTCTCAATTCTAGTGAATTTCATTTCCAAAGATCATGGAAAAAAAATTGAGACAGAAGACTATTATATCAAATCATTTGGCTGAAGATGACTCCCTCCACATATGATTCTCAGCTTGGTCAAACTTTGAGGTCAAACCTCAAAAAATATACTATAATTGTATTTCTACAGGTACAAAGAGTCATTTTGTTTTCATCTCCTTCCAAATTAATTTCCTAGTCACATTCAATGACTAATTCTTTGAAACCTGAAAAATGGACTTGAAAATGGGAACTTTATACACATACTGCAGACAGGGGAGATTTATTAGTTCTAGAGTCTTGAGGTTCATGGTGACAAAAAATATAGGTCAGTTTAATTCATTATCTATCATCTTCTGTCCACAAAGTTAATTTCTAAAGAGACAAGTTTCAGTTTACTTTCCAACATAAAGCACAGTATGTTTCAGATTTTTGCCCAAACAAGAGTTAGAATGAAATGCTGCTACTGTGGACTTAATTAAAAGCTACTCAGCTCTCTTTAAAAAAATAACAAAGAATGGGATATCAATCTCAAAAAAAGTTTTAAAAATAAAGTAATACATATACATACACAGAGTTAATATATTTGCTATGTAACTAAATATATTTAGCCTATAACACATACAGGCTAAATACCCCATGAAAGACTGCTTTCTTCTAGGTAGCAAGATTAGAGTACAGCATATACTGAAATTATAAAAGCAACACATTCTATTGTTGACCAACTATTTTTTTTCCTGCAGTGCACTTCACAAACTAAAGCTTTAGATACAAGCCAAGATTAGAGTTAAGGTTATTTAACATCGTGCTTTCTGCTTACTGATCCAAAATTCCAAGTGTTTACATAACTCCCACCCTATCTGTAACCACAGAATTCTGCTGATAAGATTACTCAACAGAAGACAGGCAAGAGTAACCACATCTATCATGCAAGAAATTAAAAACAAAGAAGAAAAAGACAAAGTTATCTTAACTGACTTGTGAATACCAAAAAAAAAGAATCAGAGAAGGCAGTGGTAAATCTCTGGTAAAGATAATCCTGGTGACCAATGCATATTTCCTCCTAGAAAATCCCATCTTGAACTCCAGCTTCTAGCCTGAGATGCTTCGAAACTCTGCAACACTTCTTTCTAGAAGAATTAACCTTTCAACAAACAAGATGATTGCTTTGTCTGAGTGATGGCAAGCATCACAGCTCTTGACAGTAATAGTTATCACAGAATGGTGTGCTACACGAGGAGGCATGCATGTGCTGTCTTCTAAGACTTGCTATTTGCTTGTTGCAATGTGGAGAAAACACAGTTCACAGTCATGCTTTCAAGACTTCTGCAGCTATCTCTCAGCCCCCTTAAAGTCTTCAACTCTGCTGGGTGTTCCAAACATGGCAGGATACCACTTTTCTCAAAGAAATCCCTTGTCTCTTCCAGATGGATAAGACTACTTTGGATGACTGAAACTTTTGCTCTTGTTGTGCCATGCAGTTACTCACCTTCAGATGAGCTTTAGTAAGCCTCGCCATTGCTCAGAAGGGGCCTTCTTCACACTGCCTACCACACAGGGTTGTGAGCACCTTTTAGCTGCTGTTCACTAAGCCTCAGTGCACACAGTTGAGATATCGAGACAGAGTGAATACGAAATTTCTCCTTTCCCTTCCTTTTGTGCTTCCCTAGTGGGATTCTTATCTTATCTGCCTGGAACAGGGAGTCTCTCAGTATATTTAGACAACAGCCATGCAGAAAACCTACATGAGAAGGCGATAGACTTCCTCCATAAACTCTTGGTGCAACAATTAAACAGATGACTCCTGCCATTACAGAACATCTATTATAGCAAAAGACAACTATTTACCAAGGAAACACACAAGTACATAAAGCAGCTTGGGCTGAAGGTGCAAAGCTCAAGAAAAGTACAAAAAACGTTTGCAGCCTTTTATGGGGGAGTACTACCAATCTGAAAGCAGCAGCAACCTGGTTTCAGACACTGTGTCTTTCTCTCTTCACATTCTCTTTGTTTCACCAGCCCAAACACTTACTTCTTCTAAAGTCTCACTCTTTATTTTAGCACATAACTCACAATTAACATCTGCAGACATGATATAGCAGAAGTCACACCTTTGTGGTACGCTCTGTATTTGTGGATAAATTTCTTTTAAAATGTTCATTTTATCTTACAGAAACAGCTGCTAATGCCAATCACTGTGATAAAAGTTGATTCCTGGTACTACTCAGTTA